GCACATAAACTTGATAAAACGCCACAGCGGGAAAGAGAACGGAGGCAAAAAAAAAAAAAACTATAAAAAATCAAATAAACCTTTTACGAAGGTAACGGCCTGCCGACCACGGCAGACCCCACCAAAAGGTCCCGGAAAACATTTTATGCAACGAAAATAAAATTGTTCCCGCACCTGCTCCTAAATAAAAAAAAAAACTATAAAAAACCAATAAGAGACGTCTTGATATATATATATATATATTTCTCTCGTTTAAACCGTTGCCTTCCTCGCTCACATATCTCCTAAATAGCCCCTACCACCATCACCCTTCCTGACCACTTATTCTGAGTGTTTCGCCCATTTTCTTGGGTTTTGTTCCTATTCATGTAAAGTGCGTGGGACGCAGGAAGCTCCCCCTTCTTGCTTCCTTCGCAAAACATTTCAAGAGGGTGACGAGGCAGAAGCACCGGAACTGCCGTCAACGCACTGATTTAGGCTTCACCTGATGGCTTGGGGCGCTTTTACCGCCGCCTGCACGGTCATGGTGGGCAGTCTCATATTCCTCGGCAAGTGCATCAGCCTTATCCTTCGTCAGAACGTGATCTTCGTCGTGCTTCGTGGGCATCGTTTGTAGTTTCCTTTGGATTTCTTCCTTCTCTTCTTGTTTTGTTTTGTTTTTTGTTTGTGACGTTTATTTACTTTCCCTTTAGTGGCGTAAATTTGAGTGCTCGATAAATTCCTCGGGCCTGCAATAAATAAAGGAAGAAAAAGTAAAAAAAAAAATGAGAATAATACGCCCATGCATGTGTGGGTGTACACACTGACGCAACCACACATACCACGCTATGAGGAAGAGAGAAAGAGTGGCCACACACTTACACGCACACAGACAGGTAAAGTAAAGGAAAATTAGTCTCTTTTTTAGTCATTTGCATTCTTCACCGCAGCTATGTGCTTTAGACGCCTTGCTGTGACGTGCCGCGTCTGCGAGGGATCAAACCCCTCCGCTGCCGACTCTGGCAATGCCCAGAGTGGTGTGGGACGCAAGTAGGCGTCCGCCGTAATCTGCTTCGAAAGGACAGGGTCAAGAATCATGGCGTTAAACTTTTCAAAGTCGATCCAGGTGTGCCAAACGCCATCAATTTTAAACTTTTTTTCCGCCAACAGAATGCAACCAGAATGTTCGTGCAGCGAGGCTACCTCATACGCCTTCCCGTCAAAAATAACTTCACACAAGCGATTCCCATACGCCTTTAGCTGCTCCCATGATGGGACATTTTTAATCCGAAGAAGACCTTGGCGGTTTCCTGAAAATGCCGGCGTTAGACGCTTAAGCTCAACAAAGTTTGGTCGACCAGTTTCAAACACAGCTTTGTACTCTAATAGATTTTCCTCGCTCATATTAAACCCACTGATCATCGTTAAGCGAAAGACGGTCCTTTCTTTTCTCTGACTCATGTGGGCTATACTATGCTGAAAGCGCTCCCAGTAATCAGAAAACACTGGCCGATCCAAGAGTTTCATTGTTTCCCTATTAGGGGCATCTACGCTAAGATATAACTGCGTGACAGGCGTTAACTCCTTCAAAGCATCAGGGAATTGACCATTGTTAACAAGAAATGTAGACATTCCCTTTTCATGGAGGAGGTGAAGAAATGCATTCACATATGGATACAAGACACTCTCACCGACGAGAGAAAGCGCACAGTGCTTGGGGTTCATAGCCTCCTCTAATCCCTTCTCTGTAACACCCGGCATGCCCCGTACACCTTGAATCAACGCTTTATGACTTGACAGCATGCCATCAACGATGGTTTGTGGGTCATCCACCTGCCACTTCCACTCCGTTGCCGTGGGATTGGTATTTAAGCGCCAACAAAAGACGCATTTGTTTGCACATGCCATGCTTGGCGTGGCTTCCATACACTGATGGGATTGAATACCGTACATAGTCCACTTGTAACACCCACCCCTACCACGCATCATGGACTTCTGCCAACGGCAAAGTTTCACCGCACTGTGGGTCCCCACCAAAGCGTACATGGATTCCAGCGTGGCGCGGCGTTTCTCTGATAGCATTGGCCGCCCGACTGTTCTTTCAATGATATTCATCGCTATATCCACTAAAGACAATGATGAAGAGGAATAAGCACAGCATAAAACGTATTTGCTGTTGTGTGTCTCTTCATTCCATTACCTTAAGGCTGTAGGACAGAGATGTTACCCACAAGCTGCTGGGCCTCTTTGATGGTGGGGTCTGGCCAGCTGGCCTTTTCCATCATATCACAGCAGGCATCACTCACCCATTCTCCCTCTCCCTGGCAGTGGAGGCAGACGGACATATCAAGAGACCTTCACCACCAATATCAAACTGCAAGCACTGAAAGTGCCGCAAAGTAGTCTAGCGAAGCAACAACATAACGATAAGAGAAAAACATTAAAACACCTAAGCAGATAGATATAGGCAATGCGGGGAGAGCGGGAAATCGACCTGCGTACAGTATCAATGAGGCCAAAGTGGCTACCAGGCCTACACAAACGGCTATGGTGGACGCTGTCCATGGCATAAATGCGTATACAGCTGCCCTTGAACTCAATACGCTATAAAATATGAAGTCTCCCAATCCCAATTTAAATGGACTGCGTTTCAATGCATAATACACGCAAGACGCCGACGACAATTGAGAAATCTTTTTTGGATTAGCCGCGTTATTGTTATTTTTTATACGCAAAACATCTCCTGTTCGCGTCTCCTCCTCTGTGACATCCCTTGAATGCCCGGGTGTATGCGCCAACATGTTCAAGGTGTCACTGTTGTAAACAAATCCGGGGATAGGTTCTTTGCGTTTCTCTGCAATTTGAATGAGCATTTTAAGTGGCCCGCGTGGACTTAGCACGGCAACCACGTCATACAATGCAACAAACACGAGTATCGCCCATGTAGTCCATTCAGAAAGAAACGTCATTATCCAGCCGATGAGGATTGACAATACCACCAGGTACACCTGCGCGAGGATGGGGTGCGCGTAGTAAAAAATAGATACGAACCCCACAACTCCAATGTTCCACAGTAGAAAAGTGGATGTAACAATATCATAGGGTACCTGAAACCGTGTACAGAAAAGATCCAGCCAAATCCACATCATCAAGAAAAACACGGAGCCAGCTGAAAGGAACAACAAAGCAAAGAGAACCTTCTCACAATGATAGGTGTACAACAACACTATGAGAAACGTCATGACAGTGAGAATAGCGACAAGAGCCAAGGCATTCACTAAGGAAGAGCCAAGCTTGCCCTGAATGGTAGCATGTGTGTCCTCATCCATGAAAACGAACACGGGTGACATGTACCGGCCGACCAAAAAAGGTGACAAATTCAGAGTACTCCATGACACCAGAAGTAGACACACAAACACAGGCACAAGCAACGCCGCAATGCGCCTTCCTATGAGTGCCGCCACCCCATCCAGCGGCACACGCTGCTGCAACTCTGACAAACCCATATATCGACTGGCTTCAACAAAAGAGAGAAAAAAAAAGGAGAGAACGTAGACAAAAAAAAAAAAGGGAAAGGGAAACACCACTACTAAGCGATGATGATTATATATATATATGCATAGCAGCAACAAACATACACACACACACAACGAGACCAATAAAAAAAAAAAAAGAGCTACTACCCACTTACTTGTTTTTATTTCTTTTTAAAAAATAAATTCCCTTCCTTCTTACCCTTATTTCCCTGTTTTGGCTTTGCCCCGGCAAGATAGATAGAGTTTCTGGTGGGATGCATGCGACGAGGCAGCGCATTTTAGAGGAACCGCGAAAAAAGGTACCCGATTTGTCTACCACACACGCACCCCGCCACTTTTCGGTTCCGCTTCCTTCCTGACTTCGCTTCAACGCCCATCGCACCAACACACCCTCGAAGGGGAAGACAAGAACATGTCAACCATAAAAAAAGAAAGACACAGTAAGCGTTGCTAAGGAAAATTGCTACGTTTCTGGCCTCTCAATCACACCTTCTCTCGTACTCCCCCTCGCCAAATTTTTATACTATTCCTCTATTACCAGCTACAGTGGCCGAACCCATACACTAAATGCAAAATATTAACCAAAAACAAACAAAATGTGCGCATTTGACTCCGCCGAACACGACAAAGATGACTACGTCACAAGTGCGCCTGGGGGCTTGAACCGAAAGTACGTATTCACAGGATTGATTATTCCCACAACGAACGCCACTACTGTTACCAATGTAATCATAAAAAATGGCAATAGGGTTTCGGCTTCTTGGAATGGAACTTGAACATTCATGGTAAACACACCTGGAATAACACCAATTGGCATCGTTACCAAGGCCATTTGTGTCATGACATTGGTCACAAAATCCATATAGTAGCAGTGCTGGAACAATCGCATCGACACACCGCTTACAAGACTCATACTTGACAAATTGAGAACGTCGCGGCCCCTTCGAAGACGCTCAATGGAAAGCAGTAGACCAGACAGTAATCTCTGATAGCGGCTAGCCGCACTGGGATCTGCCGTAATAAAAATGTGACGCATCACTGGCAACATTAACTGCTGAATAAGCCGCTCCTTAGTCAAAAATGATGCTTGTACCCGAGACAATCTGTGACGCAGATTTTCAATACGTTGCATAAAATCCAAGTGATCGCATCGAGAGGGTTGAATCTGAAGTACTATCTCATTTACACTGTCCACATCGGCAAGCAAAGAAGACGTTTCCTTCTGGTAATCTTTTACAAAAGCACTGACGAGGGAACACACAGATATTGACACGGGAGCAGCATACGAAGTTGATGATGATAAGATTAACTCCATCTGGGCCCGCAACTCGTCGCCCCACGCAAGAGGCCTACGAAAAATCGTGAGCAAGACTTGTTCAAACGCAATCATACAAACCTTCACTGGTTCGTACTCCTCATCTCCCAATGAAGTTTTAGTATCGTGCCTGGCCTCCGCACTGATGCTTGCATAACCACATGACGGGAATATTTCTGCCCCTTCACGGTCGTTTGTTCCATTCCTCACATCCTCTATCGTAGAGGAATGAATAGGAAAAAGATTCAGCACCTTATCTATGGCAACATCATCGTCGCACTCAACTTCAATCCAGGCAAAGTCAACGGGCTGCACTCTTTTATCAGCCGTATCCGTATCGTTGTCCACTACATCACACAGTTCCGCTATAGATGGAATTATTAGCTCCTTCTGTGATATGGGGAAAAATGGAAGTGCTTGTAACACGTTCAGGGCCGTTTCAAGTTCACTTGTGCTGTACGTTTGCGTTGGCCCCAACACTCCATTCCTTCGGACAAGTAGCCGAACCTTCCCCGGTGCTGTGAGATATTCCATGTGCTGTATTTCGTCCACCTTTGGAATAAAATAGGAAAGGTGAGAAGCAAAACAACGAAGAAAGTCAATTGAATGTGAGTGAAGGGTAAATTCAAGTCGCAGAAAAATTTACTCCATCAATCAAGAATGGGGAGAGAGAGTGGGGATCAACAACAGAAATAGCAATAATTTCAAAGGTATATATATATATATATATATATGCCAACTAGCTCAACATATCCTGTATTATTCATTCACTTCCCCTGTTTCATTGTTCTTCTGTTTGGAGTCAACGCCAGCCGGCATGCACACGGATGCAATTCCGCGTAGAAGGTAGTGAAGCCCTAGTCGGTTTCAAGTGTAACTGCCCCTCAAGTTGAGTTCCACCATACCACGCCTCACCGGCACGAAACTCCCGACTTACACCTGTAAATTTTGGATGGCTTAATATATCGGCTCTAACTATAGCTGCCCGCTGTGCGGGCGACAGTGTGGCAAGATAGGGGTTCCTAACCCCTCTTGAATCGTGTTCCCTTTCTACAGCATGCCAGGAACCACCAAGGCGGTGACGGCATGACCCTTGTACCTCCCCTGCAGCTGCAACTTCTCCCTTCAAATCCCAGCAGAGTGCGGACTCAATTTCGGGTCTGCCAGTATAATTGTCTATTCGCTGGCAATAGTAATTCACTTCTTGTAAATCGGCTCGTCTCTCAAACCTTGAGTTGTCTACCCCGCGCAAGTGTTTTGTGGGCCTTGCATCCTCCGCGAGTGAAGGAGCACCATGACGAAAGGGTAAAAACTCACCGTCTCCTGCAACTCGACTTGACGCTTTTTTTTTCTCTAACTCCACCGACTTTTGGGTCTTCAAGGATTCAAAGGGGGGTGGGTTTCCCTTGAAGCCCACCTTGCTGCGCTGAATTAACCATTGGAGTCTGTTCAAGGATTTGTCTTGATCTATGCCTTCTTTCTTTGTCATTGTGTTCGAACAGTGTGATGCCCTCGCATTGCAAATAGATCACGTGCATACAGAATTAGGCGATGTAATAGTAGTAATGGCAATACGACCCCAAAGAGTCAATGGGAAGGGTAGCAATGAACAGTAACAATGAGACGCAGAAAGACACGTCATGCATGCAGGCACGTATACGCCTTAATGACAAGCAAGCGGCTACAGAAAAGGCGTGCAAGGAAAAAAAAAAAGAAAAAAAACAGACAAACAAGCTCAAACATTACAGTGAATACCAATGAGATAAAATGTTAAAAATGAGGGGATAAAGAAGGCGGAGCAACACCAACACCAAGACCAACACCAACAAATCACTTGCTACCTCCCAACGCGGGACCGCTGGAAGCAAACAATTTTATAGGTAAAAAAAAAAAAACAGAGGAACTCAAAATGACACGCCATCATCTACTTAAACCTATCTGGCCAGACTTTTCTTTCACCTCCCACAAGCTTCTAAAACACCCACACGCACACACAGGAAAAAAAAAATTAAAAAGTAAGGAAGTGGGTAAAACTTTTTACTTGTCGCAGTTCAAGCATTATGGACCTCATTAAAACAGCTGTTACATACTCTCTCTGGGTTTGTGTATAGTGACTCCGGAATGACACTAGTTTTAGACGAACATGAGTTACAGAACACATTCCCGCACCTCCGACAGTGGTGTCGCCGTCTCCAAAATCCAAAGTATGTACCACATTCCTTGCAAAAGCTAACTGTCGAGTCATCCACCCATTCCACCTTGCGAACCCAAAAGCGCTCCACGTCCGTCGTTGTAAGAGTATCAAAATCAACTTTCTCAAAGAAGGGATGCCCTTTTACTTCTTCCATCCCAGGACGCTGAGCTGGGTTTTTTAAAAGGAGCTTTGATATCAAATCCTTCGCATCGCCATCCAAGTCCTCAGGGTAACAAGGCTCCTTCTCAAGTATGCTTTTTATAAGAAGATATTCTGTTGGCTCACCAAAGGGACGTTTCCCGACCAACATGTGATATAATACACAACCACACGCCCAGTAGTCAGAGGCAGTACATGTATAATTGTCTTGTAACAGCTCAGGCGACATATAATGCGTGGTACCACAAAAGGTTTGGGCACGACCTTTACTACCTTGTTCACCCTCTGGACGCTCATCAACGGATTGGCATACTACGGCCGTGCCAAAATCAATGAGCTTAATATGCTTGGTGCTTGTAAGCATAATATTTTCTGGCTTGATATCCCGATGCAAAATTGTAATTGGTTTCAGAGGTGCATTGGGGATGATTGGAAGACTCTTTTTAGGCGCATAATGCAAGTACCAAACTGCAGAAAAAAGTTCTGCCAAAACATAACGTGCGGCCTCAAGAGGTAATTTTTGGCGTGATGTAATGGCGTAAAGGAGCTCCCCTCCCTCGCACAATTCCGTCACATACATAAGATCATCTGGTGTTTGCATCGAGGCAAGAAAACACACTATATTCGGGTGGTTACACATAAGAAGCATATGCGTTTCTCTTCGCGCCACCTCAGCCATGCGATTCCTCTCCTCATCTGAAGGGGCGGTCAGGATTTTGCGCTTGGAGATGAGCTTAACGGCATATCGCACCCCGGTCGGGATGTAACGCGCAACCAAAACCTTGCTAAAGGCCCCTGTGCCCAACGTTTTCTCAAATTCAAACTCATCCGGACACATTCGCGTCGTCGACATAGTTAAAACCGACAAATGGGAGAGGTGGCGGACGACAAAACAAAATAAAAGGGCAACAAGAACAAAAACAATGAACAGATACCACCTTCTTGAAGTCCTACCTGCAGATAAAATAGATGCAATAGAGAGGGGGGACTAAAAAAAAAAAAAGCAACCAGGGGAATCAAGCAACAGTGAGGTTGTATACCCAACAGCTCGAACAGGTCACAGCGCCCAACTTGCTCAAAGTTTGATTTATCACGTGGGTCTTTGTCTGTGCTGGTTCCTTTTACACTTCTTTGCGCCAAGTGCACTCTATTCACTTTCAGTCTTACTTCAGAGACAACTCTAAAGCAATGCGGGGCGGGGGTCCAGTGATGAAAACAATGGTGTTGGAGTAGTGAACAGAAACACAATGTGTTTATGCTGTCAAACACAAAGGTACTAACGTCCTTCATCCCTATTCTCAGTCTGAATCAAGGAGAAATACGTGTCGGTTATTCCTCCTAGTCTGCGTGTGTGCAGATCAGCGACTCCCACTCCAATCTGCAAGTCTAAAAAGAAGAGCAAAACAACAACAACAATAGTCATACGCCCCATTTGGCGAATTCTTCGTACACACACGTATGTGTCAGTGAGTCTAAACTGAGGAGCCCTAGGTCCTCCCACAAATCGTTTTGCTACTTTCACATTCTCTGGATGCCACTCCAGGTAATTCTCTGACACCTATAAAACGGAAGCAAGGTAGAAACATCTCCGCCGCTTCACGGCGTCGCTTCAGCTTCCTCTGTGTCTCTATTAGAAGCGACAGAACGCGTTTCTTCATAGCCAGCCTCCAAACCACGAGACTCCGCTTGCATTCGTGCCTCCCACTCTTCAATTGCGGCCTTATCACGACGCTCGTTCCCAATGCGTTGTCCAACTCGTTTGGCTTTTCCTGCTATATTCTTAAAGTAGTCTAAAACAACTTCATCCCGTAGCCATTGTTTGTACTGCCCATAGCATGCCTCGGAAGTGATTTTTTTTATGGATCGCTCTGTAGCATAGGTAAGCTCATTAAGACAAAAGGCCAAATTACGCGCCATCTGACGCTTTCTTTTACCGCGCTCGGAATAAGGTTCAAAGCGTTGGCACAATCGCTCAATAAGGGACTCAGTCGGCTTGTCACCTTCTACTCGTTCAAGCAAGGATCGCATGGCCACCTGAAATCGATCAGGAGGTATCGACTGGCTCAATTGCGCAACAAGCGGAGGAATCAAATTTCCTGTTTTTTCCTTTTCCTTCATGGCCAGATTCTGAACAAATAGTAAAGCATTGTTGGCAATTGCCTCATCTGGATCAGCGACGAGTTTTACAATGGTATACAAATGATCCCTGATACGAAGCATCTCTCCAAGGACAAGGTGAGAACACACTTGAATTGTCACAGCTCGAACCCGCAAATCATCATCGTTAAGTAGCTTGAAAAATCCAGTCGTTGGTACTTTCAGGTACGGGGCAAGCAGATTTGGATGAACACAAGCCAAATCACCCAAGGCTATCACCGAATTTGTTTTCACCACCCAGGATTCACGTTTCTCGGAGACAATCGCAAAAAGTAGATCCAGGTTCTGTTCACAGAACACATCACTGACAACCATCAGTTCGGATAGCGCCATCACGGCACACACTCGCTCCAATATTCTATCCTCAAAACGCTCAGGTTTTTCCTGACAAGCTGTAACAACATACTTGGAATATCGATGCCATACTGATCCCTCTGACATAATGGCATTCTTGCGCCGCTGTGCCAACTCCTGAATAGCGTGTCTCTTGTATTCATGAGATCCTAATCCAAGTTCTTTATGCATAACGTCTGCATTACTATTACTAGTTATGTCGCTTAATGGTTTCTGGGAGATGGCTTCTGTGTCGACTCTCTTTAGTTGTTGTCGCTCTGCACAATCCACAGCGACGAGTTGTTTCAGGGCCGTTCGCCCCAATAAAAAAAATAGTTGCGTCAGACTGTTTGAATCGCTGTCAATTCGGCAACCGATGTAATCCAAGACGTAATTATATATTAAAACAGGTGATTCGCATAGGCTGTGAACCGCGTTCACTGCTGCATCCGCAAGAATCAACCAAGAGGATAGTGTCGAGGTGCGTCGACAAAGATGAATCACTAGTTGATTTAATATAACATGTTCACTTGGTTCAATCTTCACCGGTATCGGTTGATAATGGGGATTTTGACACTCACTTGCCAGGCTCGTTAAACAATACGCGAGAAGAACGTTGTCTTTTATGGCGTCTGAACGTAAAAAGTCCACAATACTCTCCTTTCTTGCAGAAAGCTCTCGCCAATCATGTTTACATAAAAGGCCAAAAAGCCTCATAGCAGTGCGTCTATCCGTAATTGAAACATCATGATCCAGCGACCCATCTGCAATGCCCCAAACGGCGTCCATAAATTGTCCTGATATTAACCGAGAGAAAGAAGGATTACACTTCATTAACGCAAAAACCCGATCAACGGCACTGACATCGCCTTCTGTTGCCCCACGCAAAAAACCAATCAACTTGTGGGCACTTGCCGTATTTCGCACCAACGATGAGGTTGATGTTCTCGCATATGCACTAAACACAACCTCCACAAAGGCATCACGTACAGAGCATTGTATTTTAATTTCACCTTCAAATATCATCACTAACACTCGAAGAAATGCCTTCTCTGAACCCTCAATGCGATACTCATTGCATGCAACAATAAGTTTAATGGCTTCTATAGCATCACGTTCTGTTTGACTATCTAGTAATGTTGTGGCGTGCCCCAAAGCCTTTTTGATTAACTCCGCAAATTCAAGGGCCTTTTCGTAAAAAATCACTCGATTTAACATGGAATTCTGCTCTTCAGATAACTGAACAACATCTGTTATGGTTTCTTCCGAGTCACAAACAAAATCGCTTGCTTGAGCCTCAACTGGGCGGCACGTACTTTTCAATTCCTCCAATCCTCTTTTATACACCTCATCCGAATCAAACATATTTGCTGCGGCTATTCTGGATTCCTCCAGCTTATCACGAACTAAGGAGGAACTTAAAACATGTCCAAACCAGTTTTTTCGCAAAATGGAAGCAATGACATGAAGTGCAGAATCTCTGACAAGATAATTTCGATCTTCTAATCGCCCAAGAATGGCATTTGTCACTGCAAGGTGAAAACGTTTTGGAACTGCTCGAGCCTCTACCAGTCGTTCCCACATATGAATAGTGTGGTTACGAACAAATGGATTACAATCCATTATACGAAATAATATTTCGCTTAGGTATTTGTCCTTTGTTTCTTCCGCATTCTCTGTACTAGGCATTGGCCCAGTATACTTTTGAATAATCATCTCTGTTATACAGGTCACCACCGATTTTCGAATCTCATAACTCTCACTATGAATGGTTTGAACAATCACATCGGCCATCCGAGCTGTAACACTTACACATCGTTTTGCAACCTCGCTAAAGAACAGTGCCATATTTTTCGCCGCTCCAGCATCTCCGGAAACGTCATGAAGTGCAGCAACAGCCATCCCTTCGATGAGTGCGATAACAATATTATTTGTAGAGTCATTTGAAATATCCCCGCTTTCTGCTTCCGAAACAAAGCGCGTGAGAAACTGTGATGCAGATTCTGTTTTTAAGGCCAATTCAATCATTGGCAAAATAAAATCACATGGCTCAACAGATCCGTGAGACATTATGTGACCACAGACTCTGAGTAAAAGAACTGCAAGCGCACCTGAAACAGGATGAGCATCATTTTGAACATTCGCTTTTTGAGTTATCATATGAAGCACCATACGAAGCATCAGGTTCAGCATGTTTTCTTCAATATGGCTTCCCCATAAAGTTGACAAATCCGGTGAGCAGACATCTATCAAGGCAGTAAGAGCGAGCTCACGACCATCTTGATCCACACCACTGCAATCTTCACCAATACCAGTGTCCTGTTCACTTTTTGCACGCTTCCGTTTGCGTATACTCCGCTGTGAGGAGTAAGATAAATTTTCATCATCCTCAAGTATTGGCGCTGAAGATAAAAGTATATTACACAGAATAAAAACGTACATTTTCACAGTCGAGCGCAAACAAACCAATAGGGCGTCGTTAACATTACTATCATTTTTTTTGCGAAAATATGTGAGGCAAATTTGCAAAAGCTTTTTCAGGCGTTCAGAGACTTCATGGCAAATCTTGTGTCGGGCCTCTTTTATAACGGGTTGGTTGGTCCCAGGACTCTCGATGGCTTTTATGTATGAAAATAGTGTTGTGAATAGTTCCGGTTTTGAAAAAAGTGATGTGGGAGATTTTTCTCTATGAAGGCAATCAAAGAGTCTTGTCAAATCATCCACCTGCTGTCTCGGATGGACATCAAATTCGCATGGCTCACCAACATGATACTGATTCGGTCCAGTTTTCTCTAGATCCTCCAAATCGCAGGCGTGGGAAGGAACAAAAAACTCAAGCACGTCTGTCATATTATCCGTCCTCTTTTGCTTTACGTTTCCTTTTTATTTTTCCCTGGGGGGAATTGCTCCCCATGGTGGAAAAAGAAGGGACAAGGTAAATAAAAAAAAACATAGTATAAAGTGCAAATACGTAAATATAAGAAGAATAATCTAAGCAACCCTGTACAAATCATACAAGAATAATATATTTCCAAGCTATAATATTACTCTGTCAGACATAAATAAATCACACCCAGTTGTACGCAGTAAGGAAGATCCATCCCTTGTAAAATTAAAGACTTCAAGGAAATAATAATAATAATAATAATGGGGACAGAACCGCCATCAACTCAAAAATAAAAGACTTTGCCATAGCCTTAAACCCAATTTGTGATCCTGTAATGTAGCTATTTTTGCAAGCAATTCTACCGCCTAAAAACAGCCATCTATTAGATGATACTGCACGTTTTGAGCACAATCAAGAAGCCGTTCATCAGGCTGCTACCCGTCGCAAAAAAAAATAAAAAAAATTGAACCTTCGCCCAAAGAACACCTTTTATCACCAGTGCCATAAGACAATGTTGTCCCATCGAATGAATGATTACTCACACCACGTATTTGTTTTACATTATGAGGACGCAGCCCAAGATGATGAATCAAGCTCGTTGTAGGTACTAAACGAGCTTCCTGTTTTATCTTTGCTTCGTTATGGCATCATAACACTGCAAGTTAGCTTAACAACATCCGGTTTCTTTAGCCCGCCTGGGTTGACAAATTAAAAATTCATACCCTACTGTACGGTCAACTTTTCTGGATTTATATTGTGTTATCCTGTTCATCCCAGGACCGTATGATTTCCCAGGAAAAAAAATAAGAAACATCAAAACCAATATCGCCACCGCCAATTATCGCAACTCGATTAACCAAATATGCGTTACCAGATAACACATCAACGTATAAAAACACATTTTTTAAAAAGTCTTCCACATTGTTTATGACAGAATTTAAAAGTGGTGTTAGGCAGGCAACCAAATGTTATAATAAATTCGTCATAATCAGCCCCATTAAGTAAAAAAATATATACCTTTGTTTGAGACTAACCCAACATTCTTGAGGGTAGAGAAACAATTCATCCAATATCTAATGGTACTCTTGTGTTAGGCCTTTCCTAGGAATCCCATTGTCAGATTAAACTGATCCCCCCCCCAAAAAAAAAAACAACAAACCTATTTCTCATAAATTGTAACTCCATGCTTTCGCAGTACCAACACCAAGGCACAATAAGCACCACGTGGTCCCTTAATTATGACTGCAATCTGTTTCTTCTCTTTGGTGGGAATAACAGCACGCCCCCCTTCATGGCATGCCCTTGGAATGACCAGACAAGATAAAGTTTGACCTTTAAATGTGTGGCCCAAACAAGCGTGATTGCACGCAATACAAATATTCACGTTGTCTACATTTCCATCTTTCATTTTTTTTGACAACAAAATCACTTGAAAAAGGACGCGCCATCGCAGCAAGATCAGCATCTTCCCGTAGAACGTGCTTAATCACATCTGGGTGATTCACTTGATTAACAGCAATAAACAAAGTAGAATGACCTTTACTTCTCTCATGCTCTCGGCAAGCAGTGACAGGTCAAATAAGACCAGCTTGTGCAACAATGAGAAACCTTCCTTCATGTCAACCAATCTCACTGTTAATAATATCAGATCCTGATTTTGCAACTTCTTCAGCCAGTTTCCATACCTGTATCTGCGATAACCCATTTGAAACAAAAAACAACATTGATGGACAATACACAGTAACAAGTTCTCTTTCCCACAGCCTTCAAACAGGTCGAAAAAATTCAAGTGAGAAGCTTACTCAATTTCTGTGTGCACCTCCATATTTATCCGTTCTTTTGTTGGTATATTTTACACCAAATTCATTCAACAAATAATCCCCAAACGCCATAATTTCAACCCCATCAATTCAACCCTTCTCTACAAAAACAGGAGTTCCTGCAAAATAAATACATAATTGATAGTTTCAGTCGTCCAAACATTTTGGTAACGTGATCGGACGAAAGTGATACTTTTTAAAAGACCAAATCGGACAGCGCATAGCAGAAGAAGCTACACAGAATAAACTGTATACGTATATACCAGCTTAAAGCAGCTGCATCACAATTTTTCCCCTTCTTTATGATCTGCATCTGCAACAGATTTATATTCCAAATCATCCAATTATGATCTTACAAAAGGCGCGAATTAAGTCCGTTTTCCCCAAAATTAGGAGGAAAAACATCAGTAAGAATCGTAGCACAGCTACCTTTTCCCCTTTACCATAAACCACGCAGATCTACCAAATTCGATCCTTCTTAAAATCCTCCAAACATGTGTGCATGCTTCCCATAATCACATGATTGCGCATAGTAGTAAAATCCAAGAACAAAATGGAAAACATATTTTAATGGCCTAAAGACAACTTAACTCTTTACTTTTTTTTTTCTGGAGTTCCTCCCTCCGAAGTTACTTACCAAACAAGAGGTAAAAAACAACAAAAATACTAATTGGAAAACTAATATATTTGCAAAAAAACAACAACAACAACTCAGCATCATGCAACAACAAACACACATATACATGTTAATCCATAAAAAAAAACGCAAAATGATAGAATATTTAAAAAACTCCAATATCCATTGGCATAAAAAACATACAAGAATAAAAACATTAATATTAAAGTGATTCTAACAATAATAAATAAATAACAGTAATAAAAAAAGTAATACAATTGGCACGAAAAAATTTCACACTACATTCGAGTAACCGTATTCAAAATATGATATACACACACGTAAAAAAAAAACGTCATCAAACCCTGCATACAAGCAATATACATATATATATATTAAACACACTAAAAAATCGTGAACATGAACAACCAAAAGATAACAAGTAAACCTGAGACCAAACGATAAAAACAACATGATGATATCGTCCTCGTCTTCGGGTAAATTATTCCAAAAAAAAAATATGGAAAACTCAACACCAGCCATCACAGTAGATTTTTTTTCAAAAAAAAACTGACCAGCAACAAAGTAGACAAAAGAAAGGTAATGGAGTGCATCAGAAGTTACTCATCATCATCAAAAAAAAATCGATCACACCCCACTCCTTCAAAGAAAACACACCGAAAATAAAAAATAATACTGGTAAATAGGCAAGCAAACGACAACAACAGCATTATGAGTGTAGAGAGAAAAAAGATTCACCCACCAAAATACTTGAAAAACTCTTTAAATCTTTAAACTTACATTCTCATATACATATATAATCATCATTTCTCAAGACACATTGTGAATGCATTTTTTTCTTATTATTTATTTACTGTGAAAGCATTGCTATTTTTAACGTCACCACGAACCCAAGTTCATAAAACACAACCTTGTGATACACACCAATTAAAAAAACAACGACTACATAGTAGAATTAAGTCGTTCCATTACGTGTGTTTGCCACATATCCGCGAAGCACACACACACAACAATGACGCCAAACTAAGAGGGCAAAGCAAAAAAAAAAACAGCAAAACATCCGCACCCACATGCAGGGACCAATAGGAAGAATAATAATAAACGAGTGCACCACAATGGCCCCCCAAAAAAAAACACCAACAACAACAAGAGAAATCATTTAAACAAAGTCAATATGGCCCAATAAAATGAATAGTACAAAAGACAACGAGAGCGGCACGAAACAGCGACGCCCCTCAGCGGGAACCGACCCGGCGCCGCCCGCTTCTCCGTCGCCCCGCGCGTGGCTGCGAATTTTTCGGGCAACCCCGGCCTGCGGGGAAACAGCGCGCGCACTCCACAATGGGGTTGCAGGCCGTCGTTTCGCCCGCCCCGCGGGTGGCGTGTGGCGCGGTCTTGTTTTTTCTTTTGCTGTGTGCTTGGCTGTTTGCGGGTGAGGTCCGCCGTGTTTCGCCCCTGGCGACAATGTCGCTTCTCCTTCTCTGGGGTGTGTGCGGGTGAAAAACTAGGTCCTTTTTTTCTCGTGGGGTTCGCCTTTCGGTGTGGAATCTTGCCTGTCATAAGCATATGTCTTTTTTGTAGAGCTCTGCGAGTAAACGCGAGTTTTTTCTTTGAAAAATTGGGGAATACGAAACCGTCTTTTTATTGTGATCGTTACCCTTCTTTTGGACTCGAAGAGTTGTGATTTCAGCTCTTCCCTTTCGTCACTATAGGAACGTCGCAAAGCAGGCCTAAATACCGTTGTATTGTTTCCTTTACTGTTTTTTTTTTTACTTTGTAGCATGTAAAGTTTCA